ACCCTCAAGGGTAAGGAAAGGAGCATGCATCTACCTGTACTATCTTTCAATGCATCTAGCTTTCTTCTAGTCTCCCTTTAGGGTGCAGTGGGAATAGGATGAGATAGATTGGCAGGGTGGTCTGCCACTGAGCTGTTTCTCAAAAAGGTTTGCTTTCTGGCTTTGTATGATGACGAAGCCCATGCTGTGGGGTCCTGACCCAAATGGCATTGTCCCAATATACTGGTTAGCAAAGAAAGGAATCTGGGGCCAGGACCAAGGGCCCCCAGGCCTGCTGGCATTGAGACAGCAGAGCTGGACGTCCTCAAATGGTTCCCCAAATATGCCTTCAGCCGGCCAGTGCTTGTCACTACCGACTGTATCAGTGGGGTTACTGTGTCCACCAAAGCATAACAACGAATTTCAGGTAAAAAAGATTTTGGTGGTCCCAATCACATGGTAAGTAGTCTGACCCCGTGCAAGCAATTTGATATTCCTCCAGGACATTTTCCTAATTAGGGTTCCTGCCCTATATCTGCCTTCAAAAAAGTCGCCCGGTGGATCCTCTACCAGGGAGGAAGAGCAATTGGAATATTGCGTGACCTTAGAAAAATCCTTTCTCGTCTCTGGGCCTCAGTTTCCGTATCTGCAGAATGTGAGGATTTGGGCAAGCTGACCTCAGGGTCTAACTTTCCGATCGTACCCCCAGGAACTCCCAAACACTACCGCAAGAACCAGCGGTAAAGACCAACAGCCGGGGGTCCCGCCCTCGCAGGGAGCGCGGTGGAGGTCAGCAGAGAGGCCCCGCCCCCGCACACCACCCGGGGCCTCTTTCTCCCAGCCAAGGGGAGGGCTGGGCTTCCGCTCTCCACGTTGTTGTTCCCGACTTGGACCACGCCCCCTTGGTCTAAGCTGTAGACACCTAGCCTAAACCGCCCCCGCCCCGTCCCCGGCTTCGGCCCTGGAGTAAAGGGTAGCCTTTGGGGTGGTGCAGTGGAATCTCCACCCACATCAGACGTGCGTGGACAAAGACAAGAGTTTAGGGGCAAGGAAAGACTTGGTTTTAAAAGAAGAGGGGTGAAAAGTCAAAGATAGGCCTGGACACAACTGCAGAATTTCCTTCTCGGCGTCCCACCCTCCGTTCACAAAGTGGTCTCATCCGCACCCGCGAATGTGACCCTGATAGACACTGGCCCTTTAAACAGAAGGCTGGCGGTGCGGGGTGTCCATGTGGAGCTGCTCCATGCCGTGTTGTCCTGCCCGCCCATTGGCCCATGGCCCGGTGACGTAGCCTAATAGGATGCGAACGCACTGCGGGGGGAGGAAGGGAGGCAAAACGCGGAATCGGATCACCACTCCGCTCCCTCCGCCAGTTTTCTGGCAGCCTCATGCTGTCAGCCCCGCCCAGAGGCGGATCCCGGGGGAATTGCGACAGCCGGGTAGTTGCAGGAATTAGGTCACGTGTGGGTAGAGAACGAAGACCTAGGGATTACGCCAATCTCTATAATACTGTTTTCTTGACCCGGAATATCCTTATTTGAGCTAAGTCTTAAATTTTCCACCCTTCCTTCCCTGCAGCAGGACAAATTTCGTTGTGAATGACCCAAACGTGGAGCCCTAGCTCAACCTGTGGCCAGATCCGGGCGGGGTAAAGCGGGAAAGCGGAAATGCAGGGCGCGAACCGGGCTGGAGCTTTTCCCACCCCCCACCCAGGCCACGTGTGCGCGCGCCGTCTATGGTGGGCGGGACTAGATCGCTTGAGGCCCCGCCCCTCCTTCCGTGAGACGCCGCGGCCCTGCGGGTGGGGGCTCCGGTCCGGGCTTTGGCTGCGGCCCCGGTGTAGTAGCGGGGGCGGCGGCCGGGGGCAGCGCGGCTCCTTCCCTTGTTGTGTGTGTCGGTGCCTCCTCGCCATCTTGTTGCAAAGCCTTTTCTTGTCGGCGGGACTCCTGGGGGCCGCGGGGCGGGAGGCATTAGAAGAGAAGAAGAGAGGGAGAAGGAGGGAGGCAGTGCCGCCTCTTTTTTTTTTTTTGCATCAAATTTTTAAAAATTTGCAAATTACATTTCGCAAATATTTTGGGAGACATTGATTTTTCTCCCCGTGCTTTCTCGTTCTTCCTTGTGGAGTGCGTTGCGTCGCCCAGCCCTGTCGTCCCCCGGAGGTGACCCCTCCCTCCTGCCTGCCCGCCAGCCTGACCTGTGCCCGGCTCGCGGGCCGCAGTCTCGGCCCAGGCGCGCCCCCGGCAGCTCTTGACGCGATGAGCATAGAGACGCTACTGGAGGCGGCCCGCTTCCTGGAATGGCAAGCACAGCAACAACAGAGAGCACGTGGTGAGCGGCCGGGCTGGGCCCCAGGGGCACAGGGGAAGGGGAGGCGAGCGACCCCGGTCCCCAAACCCACGCCAGAACCACAGGCAGGACCCCCTCCCTGGAGGCCGGCGAAGTGGGACAGCGCAAGGCTCCGCACAAGAGCCGCCACTCGAGAGGAGTGTTGTGGACAGTGAAATTAATTACTGAATTCATTAACATGCAGTGAGAGACCTGGCTCCTGTGGGCGCCACCCCAGCTGCCTGCCACCCCTTGTACACCGTTCGTGGGGGAGCTGTTTTCCCATGGGCCAGCGGCGCCCTCCGTAGCGCAGAGGATGTGTGAGCTGAGGGGGGGTGATCAATGGTGTTGCGTGGGGGTGGCAGACCTGCGTGTGCGTGCGTGTGTGCACAGGCGATATGTGATGGGAACCTCGAGGAGAGCGGATGATGTACGGACGGGCGAGTGTAGAGTGCATAAGAGTGGGCGTGTGTGTAACGGAGTGGGGGGTAGGAATTACTCTACGCGGAGCAGCTCCCTGTCTTCCCTGGCCCTGTGGGGAGGGTGCGGGGGGGTGCTCCCGGCAGATCTACGCGCCGCTTGGGGCGGAGGCGGCCTTTGCAGAATGAAATGACATCGCGTGTCTTATGATCCTGGCCAGCCCCGCCTGACCCCGCCTCCCAGAGCTTGGGCTGGGTCGCGCGTCAGGGGTTTGGGTGAGAGCCAGGCTGATCGGATGTTTGAGATACGGCCCACAGGTCGCTGGGGGGCAGTTCTGGGGCCCCCCTTCCTGTGCCCCACTTTAGCCGGTGTGGAATGTGGCGTGTCTGCGCGTTCCAAACCCGCTCTCGGCTGGAATGTTGCGTGTGCCTGCGTTCCAAGCCCGTTGGTTACACTGGGTAGTGACGTGGACGGGCCCCGCCCCCGACCACGTGCACGGGGGACACTCCCGCTGGGGACCGCGCGGCCTGGCCCCTCCTCTCTGCCTCGCTCTCGGCGGGAGGCGGGACATGGGCGGGGCTGGCTGGGGTCCTTGCGCCGGGTTGGGTTCTGGCACTGGGCGCTGGGCATCTACTGGGGTGAGCCTTTACCCTACGAAGGAGGAGCCGAGCTCACCTGTCGGTTCTCACTGCAACCTCCAGTTTTTGATCCTGGAGCGAGGGAAACCCTCAGAACCGCACACCGACAGGACATTTAGAGCTCACATTCCCACTTACCCCAAAACATTTTCACCAGGACCTCCTGGCACCATCCCTGGCCACATTGTGGAATGAGCCAGGCTGAGAAGGGGCAGTCTTTGGCGCTCCCTCGAAAGGGGGGAGACCAAGATTTCAGATGATCCCTCTCCCCACGCGCCCTTTTTGATGGTCCCCAGCTTCAGCTTGCTTCAGATATAGGAGCTGGAGGGGAAAGACCTCTGTTTTCTGTTGCTAGGGTCTCGGCCCTGAATCCGTCGGTGCTTATGCGGTATCCGGGGACTCCTGCCCTCTCCAACCCTCCCCCTCCCAACCCTTAAGCCGGGTTGGTTGTGGTGGTGATTATGCTTCGCCCTCCTTTCTCTCCCTATTGTTGCTTCAATGATGAGTCATGCAGGAGGTAGTAGTGTGTGTTTGGTGTGTGTGTGTGTGTGTGTGTGTGCGCGCGCGTGTGTGTGTGTGTGTGTGTGTGTGTGTGTTTGATCTTTGTTCCAGGCCCACAGTCCCCTGGACTGGGGAGGGGGCGGACGCCGGGATTGCCGGCCTAGTCGGGTCGACCGGCCTCTCAAGGTCAAAAGTCACTCGAGATATGTGAGACCGAGATGCTTGAGTTTTGCAGAACTGATGAGTTAGGACATCAGCTCACGCGACCTTCCCCCTTGTCTTTGGGGTCCAGAGCAGCCTCCGGCGGTGGACAGTGTTGGTGGTGACAATGTCCTGCGTGTGGGGGGAGGTGTGTGCACAAGATTTGGAGAGACTGAGTCATCTACCACCATCAACACAATGCAATTTGAGAATAACCTATTGTGTCCCTACTATGTACCAGGCGCTGTGCTTGAGGTGAACAGAATTAACCCTGACCTAGTCCCAAGGAATTGCTCACTTCACCTTCACTTTACTTGCAAGCTTGTTGGCCATATGGGGAAGGGGAGAGATTCCCAATGTTACCTTTCCTGCCCTTTCCAAAATGTCAGTCCACACCCAATCCAGAAGGACAGGGATGATGTGTACAACACGTTGAAGGAATCTAGGAATGGTTCTCTCCTAAGAAGTTGCAGATTTCTGCCGCCTTCTCCGGGTGGTGAGAACTGGAGGCAGGGAGCTGAGTTGCAGCCCAGATTAGCTGTCCAGTCACAGCTTCTTGTTGGTGGGGCAGGGGTCTTAGGGGATGGGTGGAGGCTGGAAAGCCAAATCTACACCAAAAACAGATGGCTAGACCTGGCTACAGTAGTTTAATCTTTAGAATTCTTTTCTCCTTCTTGAGGGTCTGTCCTTTGACCGGGGATGGGAAGAATGGAAGAAAAGGGGGTTGGTGCATGAACCTGCTGACCAGAAATACTGTCCCAGGGCTTGTACCTGATCAGCTCTGAACCAGGAGCCTCTTGTGCATGCCCCTGTTTAACCTCAAGGGTCATTTTCCTGACCTAGAGCAGGCAGTTTGCTCCCATGATGAACCTGAGGATGTGCGTGCGCGCGCGCACACACACACACACACACACACACACACACAGTGAGCTTGGGAGCACTCAGAGAAGGAAGGACAAGGCCATCCTGGTGGTTAGCAGAAGGGCCTGGTCATTTCCAGTATTCATGGAGGTGGCTCTAATGAATCTCTCTCCTACCTGTTAGCATGCAGAAAGGGAGAATTACCCTGAATATTTAGGATCACCAGGTGTGGATTCCTCAGGTCCCAACCCTGTGCCTGCCAAGCCCCTGGGCCACAGTGGTGAGAGCTGGCTAAAGGGAACCCAATGCCCATACTCTCCACAGTGGCTCCTGAATCACCCCAGGGGGGTTATGCTAAATTCTTACGAGGGGGACAGCCTCTGGTCACAGCTCAGGGAAGGTAACAGAGTATGTATGTGCATATGTAGGAATGAGAGAGGGTGTGCACTCATGAGTGCAGCAGAGCATTATTTTAAAGAGCCTAAACCCATATGCTCCTGAGGGAGGCCTCAAGGGACTGCCAGCTTGGTCCCCCCACTGTCTCCCTCTCTGCAGTGCATGCTGGCTGAAAATTGAGTCAGAGCTGGCTGGCAGGATGCAGGAAGCTTTGATGGGCTGGATCTGGCTTGGGCCACCTCTCCTTTTTCACCACCCGTTAAGCTTTTTCATGCTGATCCAGGTGTGATAGTTTGGCTATTCACTTGGGCCTTTCCTGGCACCTGTGAGGCATATCTGCCTGGCTCTGGAAGAGAGAGGGTAGGTGAGAAGGCCATTTCCTGGATGAGCTTTGGAGTTGCTTTAAAGTATGGGGAGTATGAGGTCTGCCTTCAATCTCAGTTCCCAGGGCACCTATCCTTGGAGCCCTGTCTGTCCTCCCGTTTATGGGAGGGTGGAACACTTGCCTCAAGACCAATGAAAGTTGGGTCCTGGCTCAAAGGAATGGAAGGGGGCGCTGTGTTTGGCCCTGAGCTCCAGAGCCTTGTCTTAGGAATGGGGTAGGTGCAAGTAAGGAGGTTGAGCAGGGAATTGGATTAGGGATATTCCAGGCTGGGCTTGAGAAGGGCTCTGTAGCTGGAACAGCAGGCTTCTTCCCTGTGTGGTCTTTGGGAAGTTGGAGCAGAGAGAGCTGGTTTTCTATGGGGCTGTGACATCAGTCAGTGCTGGCTGAAAAGGCCTGGGAGAGCAAGGCCTCCTCTCACTGTAGTAGAAACCTGCTTTGGCCTATAGCCAGGCAGGGGAGATACAGAAGAGGCCTGTACTGACCTGTCCAGCCTTTGAGCTCTAGCTGCTGGGAAACCACTGAGTGCTTCCCCTCTCAGAGCACGTCCCCCTCTACTTCCTCCTTTGCTTCTTCTCCTGTGTGGGAGGGAGGGGCTCAGAGCAGGCCTGGCTCACTCAAGTTGTTGATTGGCCAAAGGGTCCTGAGGCCTCAGGGTTTTGGGGGCCCCAGAGCTAGACAGACATGTAGGGGATTGATGCCCTCCTGCTGAGAGGGGGCACTTAGCCAACCACATCCCTCAGCTCCACCCTTTGTGGGGTGGCGTTTTTGGGGCGTGTCTGTAGACCAATGCTCTCAGCTGGGTTAGTCAGCAGTGTGGTGAATCCAGGGCAAGAGGGAGGGCTAGTTGACCAGCCTGCTTCTTGGCCTGGGGGCTGCAGCTCCTCCTCAGAGCCCTGGCCCAGCCCTGTAGTCAGGGAACCAGAATGGTGGGGCCCCTAAACAGGGCAGGGTGGAGATGAAGTAGGACCCCTGGAGCAGAAAGGGCCCTCTCCCATTCCTGCATGGCTTTCAGCAGAGATGCTGGACTGATGGTGCAAGGTTGCCTAAGCTCATTGCCCTGTTCAATTGCTTTTTAACAGCCAGGCTTTCCTTTCTGCCTGCCTCTTACCTTTCTAGTTTGTGCTGCTGGGGGTGGTGGAAGGACAGGGGGGATTTAGGGAAAATGAGTTTTAGCATGACAGGGCAGAGAAGGACTAAGTGTTTTGTATGGTCCCTGAGGTAACCACAGGCTTTGGGATCTAGCCTGGGAGTCCTGACTCCTGGGCCTAGTTTCCTTATGTGTGAGTTGAAGGCGATGTCCTTGCCCTGCCTGTAGTGGGGTGCTCTTGTTAAGACCTAGGTGTGTGCGTATGTGTAGACACCTAGTGAGCATAGGTTGGCACAGCAAATACTGGGCATCCACCAGGTGTCAAGAGATCTAGCTGGGTCTAGCCCATTTTACCTGTGACTTGCTGTGTGATCCTCAACAAATCACTTTGCCTCTCTGAGCTCATTTAGCTCATCTGTGAAACGAAGGTATTGCCTGCCTTCTAGAAGGTACTTGGTAAGTACTGTTGAAAGTCTTGCCCAGAAGCTATGATCTGTCTGCCCCTGCCCCCTTCATTCTCCTTTGGTGGCCTGTGAGGTCTTTTGTGACTGGCTTCTGCCCACCTCACCTATCACTCTTGTTCCTGACCCTTCCTGCTTATCAGCTGCTTAACCCCTCAACCATCAGGTTGCCAGGCCTTACCAGCACCCTCTCTGACAGTTCTTGCTCTGCCTAAGGCCTCTCTTCCCCCTAGCCTGTTGTTCCTGTTACTTGTCCCTCCCCTCACCCCCAGGATGTGAGCCCAGCAAAGGCAGGGACTGGGTATGTTTCATTTGTTCACGCCTATGCCCCTAGCACTTAGCCCAGTGCCTGGCTTGATGTGGATGGGTATTTGTGACCTCTCAGGCTGAGCAGAGATGTCATTAAACATTGACTCGGGACATGGTTCCATAGTGTAGCGGTTAGCACGTCTGCTTTACACGCAGAAGGTCCTGGGTTTGCGCCCCAGTGTAGCCATGGTCCATGGTCTATGGCCATGCCACCCTGAACAAGCCCGATGTCCGATCTCGGAAGCTAAGCAGGGTTGTGCCTGGTTAGTACTTGGACGGGGGACCACCTAGGTAGACCAGGTGCTGTAGGCATAAATAATAATAAATTCATATTAAAAAAAACCCGACTGGGACAAGATCAGAGGGCGAGTTACGGTTGGAGGACAGGTGAAGCTAAAGTCCAGGACTGTTGGCCCTGCTGAGATGCCCCTTGTATTCTCTCTGCTTAGAGGAGCAGGAGCGGCTTCGCTTGGAGCGGGAGCGGGAGCAGGAACAGAAGAAGGCCAGCAGCCTGGCTAGGCTGGCCCATGCCCTGCCTGTGGAGGAACCCCAAATTGAGGCACCGCCCCTGCCTCTGTCGCCCCCAGCACCCCCACCTGCACCCCCACCCCCACTTGCCACTCCCACCCCACTGACTGTCATTCCTATTCCAGTAGTGACCAACTCCCCTCAGCCTCTGCCCCCAGCCCCACCACTGCCCCCTGCAGCCCAGCCTCTGCCCCTGGCGCCTCGCCAGCCAGCCCTGGTTAGCACCCCTGGACTCAGCATTAAGGAGCCTGCTTCCCTGCCCACCAGGCCACAGGTGCCTACCCCTGCTCCCCTACTGCCAGACTCCAAGACCACCCTTCCGCCTACTGGCAGCCCCAAGCCTTTGCAGCCCCTCCCCACACCCATCCTGACCATAGCACCACACCCTGGAGTCCAGCCCCAGCTGGCCCCCCAGCAGCCACCCCCACCCACTCTTGGGACCCTGAAGTTGGCTCCAGCTGAAGAAGTCAAATCCGGCGAACAGAAGAAGAGGCCTGGGGGGTGAGTGAGGTGTGGCAGAGTGGGGCGGTGGGGTGGAGAGAACTGCCCACCCCCTAGGCTGTGTGTGCAAGAGAAAGTACCCCCCCAAGCCACACCCTCCCTACCTCTCCAAACTAGTGGTGCCCTCCTATATTTGGACACATTCTTAATGTGCTGATGCCCATCTCCACTCGAGTAGTGGAGAATGGCTCTTGCCCTCTGTTCTCAGGCTTCTGTGTTCTCTGACCCCCAAGGTTGGGGCTGATACCATTTACATGTCTTTGGGCAATGTTCTATTATAGGCCTTGGGTGAGGGTTGGGGGATTAACTGGCTATTTTCTGAGTCTCAGGACCCCCCTGTCTCCTCCAGAGGTGAAGAGGTAGCATGGAGGATTAAAGGAGTTGTGAATTGTGAGCATACATGTGCCCTCCAGGGGGTGAATGCAACAGGGCACAGGGCAAACATTTCCCATTGCAGCTTTTCTAGAGAAAGTCGGGGACAAAAAGCCTGTGGCATTTGGGGGGTGGGGGCAGGGGGCAGGAAGGCCGCCTAATCAGGCCCTCCTCCCTGAGCCTCTTGTCTGTCTGGGTTACAGGATCGGAACCAGAGAAGTCCACAACAAATTGGAGAAAAACAGGTGTGTGTGCGTGCGTGTGTGACTCTGGTCCCACCCTTGGTCCCCCAAGCTCTCCTGGGCCCTTCCCTCCCCTTCCTCACCCTTTCCCCACCCCCCTGGTGCTGGCTGACCTGCGCTGCTCCCCCTCCTCTCCCCAGGAGGGCCCACTTGAAGGAATGCTTTGAGACCCTGAAGCGAAACATCCCCAACGTGGACGACAAGAAGACATCGAATTTGAGCGTGCTGCGGACGGCACTGCGGTACATCCAGGTATGGGGGAGGGAAGCCCCGCCAAGAGGAGGCAGGCAGCGCCAGCTTCCTCCCCACTGCCCTCCACCCCTCACCGCGGCCCCGCCCGCCCTCGCTCCCTCCGCTGGCTGCCCCGCCTGCCTCCACGCGGGCGCTGAGCACATGGCCTGGCCGGCTGACGTCAGCGGGGCTCCCCGCCCGGGAGGGGACCAGAGGACGCCTGCGCAGGAAGGGCGGCAGGGGCGCTCCTTTCTTTTCCTCGCTCTTCCCTTCCCCCGCCGTACCGCCTCGCGGAGCCCCGGCGAGCCCCGCCATCAGCAGGGCCCCGCAGCTCCGCGTCAAACCCGGTACCCAGCCCGGCTTTTCCGCCTGATGTTATTAGTGCACCGCGGGTGAGCTTCCACCCGCTTGCAGTGTAGGGGCGGAAACCGGATTTGGCCTGAGTCTATCTCACTTGTGTGTGTGTGTGTGTGAGGGGGCGGCCTTGGGCGTGGCTCCTTCCACAAGGCGGCTTGCGAGTGAACACCCCCACTTTCATTCCAGGATTAAGATCCCTTCAGTGAGCGCACTGAAGTGCCACGACCCGAGTTTGGGGGTTAAACTTAGGGGTTGGGGAAATGCGGCCATCTGACTGGGTGACAAACAGCCCCGGGGTCATCGAACCTTTAAAAATTGTGTTCTCCTTCCGGCTGGGTTTTTTTAAAGCCCTTTTCAAGGGGCCCTCCTGGCCGTGTGCCCCCTTCCTTTGGGCATTGATTCCTCTCTACAGTACAGGGTTGGGGGGGCGTCCGCCAGATAAGACTGTTGCCATGACTCCCGAGTTTCGGTTTCCCTGGAAACCGGCCGAAGGTTCCGCGTGCCCGGGAGGAGGCTGTGGGGGTGGGGCGGGTGGCCACGCTCGGCTGCCGCGGAGACTTAGTCGGAACGGAGCCGTTGGTGAATGGGTGGGGCTTAGGGCTCCCAGCCCGCGCGGGTCAGGGACGGAGGAACCTTTGGGGTCTCCCTATCGGCGCACTCGGGAAGCGTGAGGGCCGGGCTGGGAGCCAGCGGCGGGCCGCCACCCCTCCCCTGGCCTCAACTGCGGGGTCACAGCCCTGGGGTAACCGCCGTCTGACTTGTTAAGGGGCGGAGGCACTCCTTTCCTACTGCTCCCAGCCCCGGCCTCCCGCGAACGGGCGTCCTTCCGCCCGCCCTCCAGCGTAGGGGGCGGGGCTGGGCTCGAAGATTGGTGGGAATCTCTTTTTATTACTGTTAGTGTTCTGCCTCCCATCTTAAGACTAAAAAGATGTGGCTGTGCCCACTTCCCTGATGAAGAAGTTGGACAGGGGCTTCTGGCGGGCGGGGAGTGACGCAGCAAAGCCGAGTCCGCGTGGGTACGCGCGTGCGCCGCGAGGGGCGGGGCTTTGCCTGTGTCCGGAACGGCCCGGAGGCTTATTTCTGTGTGGTTTTTGCAGAACTTGGGCTTGAGTATGTTATTGGTTTTTCAGTTATACACAGCCATGTGGCCTGGGAGTAAATCCCTGTCCAAATGCTGTGGCATTTATGTGAATATCCTTTTTTTGTCTTGTACTGTAGTGGTGCTAAATAAGAAAAAAAATAGTATCTTCATAATGAGGATGGCTATCAATATTAACTTAATAGTAATTATTGAGAAGTGAGAAGGTTCTCTATAGAAACATGCTGAGAGGGAAACCTTGTTTGCATGACGTGTGGATATGAAAATAAATCAGAAATAGAGAGTAGACCCACCAGACTCCAGAGGTGGGCCTGGAATGAGTAAGTAGGGAGACCCAGGTGTCCATAGAGATACTTGTTCTGGGGCTGACAATGGAAGCAGAAACAGAAAATTTACAAGGCTATACAGCCACAACTTCATTGATTTATATATTCCTTCAGGTACTTTGGACAGCCCTGTGTCTGATTCTGAGGATAAAGTGGAGAGCAAAGAAAAAAGTGTGGGTCTCTGACCTCATAGCAAATAAACTAAACAGGACTGTGCTGTGAGGGCATAATAGGAACAGGGATTGCAAGGTCTATTCTGGAGAGTTAGAGAAGTTGTTGCTAGGGACCGGGCATTTGAGCTGAGACCTGAAGGCCTCCCTCAGGGTGACCTAGGCAAAATGGAAGGCAGAGAGCACAGTGCAGGCCAAAGTTTCTCCAGCAGGAGGAAGCAGGGTGCATTTTTGGAAGTTAAAGATGGCAAGGAAGGTTGTCTTACAGACTTGGGGGGCAGCAGGGCACTAGATGGGAGTCGAAAGAGTACTGGAGAGACCATGTAGGATGTGTAGACTGAGGGCATTGGTCGTGTGCTGAGGCAGGAAGCTGTGGGAAGACTGTAGCCCCCAGCCAGATCCAGAGTGACTTGGAGGTGGTAAAGGATTTGAAGAAAGCCACAGTGAAGTGGTTAGAAACAGGAAGAGGAGTATGTAGGTACCAAAACACATATCCAAGTGGTTTTAGGGAGGGAATGACTTTACAGTGAAGCAGTGTGGACTAAAGTTAGACCCTAGGAAATTTTTCCAGGGGGCTGTAGGCTCGTGGAGAACTGGGCTAGGTGAGAAGAGGAGGTTTGAGCCCTGAAGTTCTCTCTCCCCAAGCCAGAAGTCCACCCTCACTGCTAGCATGTAGAGTTTAGGAGGGCCACTACCAGCCCCCAACAGTCAAGTTGGAGTGAGGGTTCACCACAGACCCCATCATTGATGTGGCTTCATCTGCTGTCATGTCTAGCACTGGCCTCTTTGAGTGAGAAGCCAGACAGTTGTGTGTGGGTAAGGGGAGAGATATTTCTGGTAGAAATATAAAGGGAGGAGTAGGTAAAACTCAAAGCCAGGATGATAGAGGAGGCCGTGTGTGGCCTGTGACTGGCGACAGAGGTGTAAAACTACCAGGTTTCAGGCAAGCACAGGGTATGGCTGTATCTGGGTTTTGTATCACAGACACTAATGATTTGAGGAATCTCTTACTGGTGAGGTCAGAAATGCAAGGAGTTAAGAGCTGCAGAGGGAGCCTGGGCAAGTTGGGCCTGGTTGCTGTGTGGAGTTGAAAATGTTGCCATGCTCAGGAAGGGCAGGTGATAGTCAGGAGAGGCTGCTGCAAAACTGTCCATAGGAAATGGAATCAAGGGAAACTCAAGTCTAATGGATGACTGGTTCTCCTATGATGAAGAGGAGAGTCAGGATGGAGGTGGGAACTAACACGCTCACACCCTTACAGATTCTTCCCCTGGGGTTGAGTGAAACACTGTCCATAGCTCTGCCCTGGCAACTGTAGAGTGAGGGGATATAAGCTAACTATAGAAGAGTCCTTGCCTTATCTCACAGGGTTGGACAGGGACAATGTGTGTTGAGGTAGAAAGACAATAAGTGAAGCATTTAGAGGATGGTTTGAGCCAGTGTCTGATTAAGTTCTACCTGACAGTCTCATTAAATGTTCAGGTGTGTGGTAGACATCAGGAGGATGTACTGATGAGGGTGTGGGGTAGGGAAGAACAGTGGGGGAGGTAGGGGCCCAGGTGTGGTGTCAGAGCATGAACAGATAAGACCTAGAGGGGTGAGAAGGGGAGATCCATGTGTGAGCTTCTGGGCACACAGGGTTGGGAGAGGCAAACCAAGACAAGCTGGTGAGTTTGGTATGCACCTGGCCATGACTGGCAAGGCCTTAGAAGCTAGAAGCTCAGGAACAGGTCAAGTAAGAGATCTGGGAGGCAGCAGGGCAGGATTGTCTGTGTCATCTGGTAGAGCCAGTAGTCATGACACAGGCCAAGGAAAAGCCAGCAGCAAGGAAACCTTTGAGACTTAGATTGATATAATAGTGTGTCAGAGTGAGGTGGTCTTGGAGAACAGGTGACACTTTTGGTATGAAAGGAAGCTGAAAAAGAGGACATGAGCTGGTACTTTGGAGTTGTTAATAAGCCTCATGCGAAGGGAAACTAGAGACCCTTCTGATAGGGAAGCAGTGCCATAGTCTGGGAGGTGGGGCATCCAGCACCTAAGTGAATGGTCAACCTAAGGGGCATAGGGTCACCTGTGGCCCTGGAGGAGTTAGAGGGAGATGGGTAAGGGAGCTCTCCTCTGGTGTTCTTAGTGAAGTGGGTAGTAACAGCGTAGTGGGAGTAGGAGCAACCTGGAACCTGTGGTGAAGGACAGAAGCCTCTCCAGGGGTACTCAGTCCAGTCAGTAGTGTTATCCAGCATCCCAAGAGCCATTTCTCATTGATCATTGCAAGTCATATACAGGTGTGAAAGGAGGAGCACATTCCAGGGCTTGGGGGTTATTTACCCTCCTGGGGTGTCAAGGCTATAGGCAGTAAAAATAGAGGCTGTAGAGAGGTGTCACAGGGAGGTAACTGCAGAGAGTAGTCCAGGAGGTCAGAGAGGAGATGCAGAGCCAGCAGCTGCTGAGGGCACAATAGAGGCAGCTCAAAGAAATGAAATGAGGGGAGGGATCACAAAGTCTAGAGGGTCATCTAAGGATGTTGAAGTGATCGATGAGGTGGAGAGAAGGGCTGGACCATTTGAGGTTCTTTGGGGAATGGGATCCAAGGAGGGTAGCTTGTGGTGTCAGTGAGTGACAGAATGGTGTGAATGGTGTGAATGGTGGTGGGAGGCCTTGGGCAATACCCGAGAAGTCTGTAACCCCTTCTTTCCTCTGCAGAATGGAGGGAGATGCTGCCAGGTTGGTGGAAGGGGCAAGAGGCAGCAAAGCCCCTTGGGACAGAGTTGTAGAGATGAGAGAGCAGCTGATCTGGATCTTGCTTTTTTTCAGTGGCATCTGCCTGAGAGCCCATAGTCCCCAGGACACTGGGCCTAACTGGGCAGAGCTATGGCCCAAGAGGCAGGTGTGGGCTCCGTTAGACCCTGTCAACCTGGGCCCCCTGGTCACTGCAGACCTGCCCCTGTGGTTCAGGAAGCAAGGGTGGCTGTGGGAAGATGTTTGAGATACTGTGGGCCCCAAGGCTCCTGCTCAGGGTATTCCACTGTCCTTTGCCCTGTTCTCCAGTCCCTGAAAAGGAAGGAGAAGGAATATGAGCATGAGATGGAGCGGCTGGCACGGGAGAAGATTGCCACGCAGCAGCGGTTGGCAGAGCTCAAGCACGAGCTGAGCCAGTGGATGGACGTGCTAGAGATCGACCGCGTGCTCCGGCAGACGGGCCAACCTGAAGATGACCAGGCCTCCACCTCTACTGCCTCTGGTGAGCTCCACCCCTCAAAAGCCAGCCTCGCTGGCCAGGCCTTTGCCTGCTAGAAAAGATGCCCCATAATATCCCTAGACCCCCTAGGGCATTTACTTTTGCAGCCTCTTGTTCCTAAGCCTTTCTGACCTGTCCTTGTCCCTGTGTCCCCCCACAGAGGGTGAGGACAACATAGACGAGGATATGGAAGAGGACCAGGCTGGCCTGGGCCCACCTAAGCTGAGCCATCGCCCTCACCCGGAGCTGTCGAAGCCACCACCCAGCACTGCCCCTGCGCCTCTGCCTCCCCACCCACATCCCCACTCCCAGCCTGTGGCCCTGTCTCCTGCCCATCTCCCGGGGCAGCAGCCTCCGTCACAGCAGAAGACACCTCTGCCGGCCCCTCCTCCCCCACCAGCTGCCCCTGCCCAGACGCTGGTGCCCGCTCCAGCCCATCTGGTGGCTGCGGCTGGAGGAGGCTCCACAGTCATTGCCCACACAGCCACCACCCATGCCTCAGTCATCCAGACTGTGAACCATGTTCTTCAGGGGCCAGGCGGCAAGCACATCGCCCACATCGCCCCCTCGGCCCCCAGCCCTGCTGTGCAGCTGGCACCTGCCACACCCCCCATTGGCCACATCACAGTGCATCCTGCTACCCTTAACCACGTGGCCCACCTTGGCTCCCAGCTGCCCCTGTATCCGCAGCCTGTGGCGGTGAGCCAGCCTGTGGCGGTGAGCCACATCGCCCACACTCTCTCACACCAGCAAGTGAATGGCACAGCCGGGCTGGGGCCCCCTGCCACTGTCATGGCAAAGCCAGCCGTGGGGGCTCAGGTGGTACACCACCCCCAATTGGTGGGCCAGACAGTGCTCAACCCTGTGACCATGGTCACCATGCCCTCCTTCCCAGTCAGCACACTCAAGCTGGCTTGAGGATGAGGCCACTCAGAAGCCCCCAGTGGGGGCAAGGAGGGGAACCTGTCCCCCACTCTCCCACCAGCTCCACACATTCCAGCCAGGCCTACCCCACCCACACCCACCCCCAGGCCTCCTAGGGGAAGGGGGTGCAGAGACTCTGAGCCAGGGGAGGGCGGGGCCACCCCAGGGAGCTGGGCACAAGGCAGGGGGTTACCCCGCTGCACTAAGACTTGACAAAGTAATGAGAGACTCTGGTGGACTTGCCGCCTGTCTGGCCTGGTGCCGTTCCTGTCTCCCTATCCTGTCCCCTGAAACCAGTGTGATGTGGATGTCTTGTTCTCCAGCTTCTCCCTCTCCTGCTGCCTTCCTGTGCTGCTGCTGCTGCTATTGCTCTGTCTGATGAGGTGGCTGAGCACCTGGGCCCTCCCCTCCCAAGCCTCAGCCCTCTCTTCCCAAGCCTTTGGAGGGGAGAGTGGGGAAGCTGAACTGAAGTAACTTGGCCCAGAAAGTTGGGGACCTCTTTGAGTCCCACTCTGAGTATAGGTGACAAATCCTAGGAAGTGGCTGGTCTGATAGTTGGGTGCCCTACCTTGGGGCTCTCCAACCCAGTTGCAGTCACTCTGATTTCTTACAGCAGAAACTGTTAAGATGATTATCAACAGTAAACCAAACCCAAACTGTTGCCAAGCTTCCAAGGTCCCCCAACCCTAGCCACTGGGCTCCTGACCTCAGGAGGGCAGGCTGAGAGTGGGGCAGGGAGGGAGGGGCTTGGCTGCCCCCATCTTTCCTGTCCCTCCCCATCTCTGGGCATAGCTCTTGGCTTCCACAAGGCAGAGAGGAGTGGTGCTGTCATTCACTCCCCTGATTTCTTGGTCTCTGCTCAGTGCTCTGCACTCCTCCAAGGTATAGGTGTACCTGGATGCCTCATGCCGCCTGGGAGACGGGACAGCATCAGGTCTGGGTTCCAGAAGCCTGAAGCCACACTGTTGGGGCGATCAGGAAGTTAAAATCCAGGGGTTCCATTAGAGCTCCCAACCCTTTCCCAAATAGGCCCTGGGGACCTGTAGAGAGGGAGCAAGGCCAGACTGTTACAGGGCTGCTGCTTCTGCCCCAACTTCTCCGTCTTGCGCCATCTCTTTCCCCTGAATGTCCCCCCTTTTCCAGTGCGCTGTTTTGAGTGTACCCTCCCTGGTGGGGGGCTTCTGTGTGCCACTGCCTTTCTCTGAGGAAAGGTCCTTAGTTGGGCCAAGGGTAAGACAGAGCTCGAGAGGGGAGTGAGAGGGGCTTGTGTGCAGGGGATGCTACTTCCCTGTCTCTGCCTTGGCAGACTGCTTTGGCTTCTCTTTTTATGTGGGTATTTATTACAAGTGGCCTTGTGTCAGACACATTCAGTTATACACACGTGCACACTTGGCTTCCCTCCTGGACACTCATCAATGGCCTTTCAGTGTGGGGGTTGGAAGCTAGTGTCCCTAGGTGTGAAGTTTGCACTGACAGGCTGGTGGGTGGGGTGAGCATGGGGGCCCAGGATCCTCTGGAGTAGCCCTAGCAAAGGTCCTAAATGGATTTAGATGCCTAAGAACTCCCTTTCAGTTCCTTCCTGGTCCTGGAGACCTCCCAGGGGACTGTTTTCTTCTCATTTGTCTCTCCTGGAGGTGGGGAAAAGGAAGGCCTATTGATGCCTTAGAGACCTCCAGGAGGGAGCCCCACACTGCCCCACACAGTGCTCCCACCTCACAAGCTTGCTGCCTTCCTGTGCCTGCAGCCGCCGCCGCCACCACCACCACCACCACCACCCCCCCTCCTGGTTCTCCAGGGAGCCAGTTTCACTCTTCCTAGTGTGATTACAATGGAAAGAACAGGTAGATGGGCAGGCCAGGCGCCCAGGGAACAGAGAAGCATTGGTGAGACCTGCCTGTCCTCAGCTCTGTTCACCTCCCTGTATCCTGAGGCCGGTCCAGAGTTGAAACTTGTGAAGGCCTGCAGATACCTCATCCGCCCGCCGCCCCTGCCCCTCCCTGCCCCCAGCAGTGAGGGCCTCTGAATCTAGTGCCGAATGACTATGTCCAGATTGGTGATGATGGGTGTTGTAGCTGTTGTTTTTGTTGTCGTTAGTGAATGCTGTGACGCTGTGTGCCCTAGAGGGCAGCCGCCACCCAGCCCTTCCTTGGGTCTCCCTTCTGAGAGTTGTCAGGACCACATCTGTCCTCGCCCTGTGGGACCGCCTGCCCCTCCCCTCCCTAGCCCTTCCAGCCTGGGGGACACGCGTGTGTGCACATGCGCGCACACACACACACACACACACACATCTTACCTCTCATGCGTGTTTTACTTTTTGATGTTAAGAGTGGCTCACTGGCTGGGAGTCTTTACCTCGGGGAGAGGGGGAGGTTGGTTCCTTGGGGGGGCAAAGAAGGGCAGGGAATGCCTGGAGAAGAATTAAGGGTCACCATAACCCCTGCTCTCTCCAGGAACAGCTTCTTCTCCCCCATCCCAGGGTCCCACCCCCATCCCCCCAAGAGGTGGCCCTTGTTTACAGTGAGGACTCGGTCACTGTGTCTCCGTTTCTTGAAATATAAACTGTAGTGACCCCAGACTGTAGAGATTTTTATGTGTTTGGATACATCTGCTGTGTGGGAAAAAAAAAAAAACCCTAATTTTGTACATATTGTATTTTTACTATTGAACTGTATTCTAGTGGCTGTTCATGCTCCAAGACTTTAGGTATTGAGACATGAATACTATCCATGTAATAAGCACTTGCCTGTAATAAAATATAAAATTGAAATAAACCTGCACTGAAACCTGAGGTGGAGCTGCCAGCCTGCAGCATCTGGGTCCTTTTGTTACAAAAAAGAGAACTTCAAGTAAAGATTTCTAGCAGGAAGCAACAGAGTCCTTTTCCTGTTGATGTTTTTGGGGTATAGTCCTCAAGCAGCTTCCAAGCTGGTCAATTTTAGAAAAAGATTAGGGACCTCCTGGTTGCGATCCCAGTGCTGAATCCTTAACAAGCACTGAGAACTGCAGTTCTGATCTTAGGCATTTGCAATACTTTATACTTCCTCAAATCATTTTTACAAACACTATCTTATTTCATCTTGTAACAGAACGAAGTAAATAAGCCAAAAATTAGCCCTATTCTGGCAGAAAAGGAAACAAGTTTTGAGGTGGGTGAATGATTTGTTACAGTCACAGCTAGCCTGGGACCTTCTGGCACTGCAGTTGCATCTCAAATCAGAATTCCTTAGCAAGTGCCATCCTGCCCTGGGGCCTATTACAGAGCTGGGGATCTTGAACTCGATGAAGTTCCAATGGGAAAGGTGGAGGATCTGTGCTCAGAAGGCAAGAGGCCTCAGAGAAGAGATGTGTTTATGGGTTAGAGGTCAGGACAGGTCATATGGGGAGTCCATAAGGCTGTCCTTTCAGGAAAAGGAACAAGAGGAAGCGGTCAAAGAGCCATGTTCTAAGTCAGCCCTGAAAGACCTTTGTCCCTATGACTACATCTCTTCCCAGTTTAGGGAAAACTAGCCCTTTGGCAGGCTGTCTCAGGAGTAAGTGGGGAGGTGAAGGAGCAATTAGCTGGGCCTAGCTCTAGACCAGGCAGGCCGCCTCATCCTGCCCTTTCTAACTTCCTGACACTTGCCGCACTCAGCCCCAGCCAGGGGAACTGATTCAGCTTCTCTTCCTGGGGTGGGTCTGGGGATGTGGGGGGTCATCGTTAAGGAAGGGAGTAGTGGCCATGAATGTCTTTGGGGTTCCATTCTCTGAAGAAAAGCCAGCCTCAAAAGGCTAGATCCATTGCCATCACAATTGTCAGATCTTCACTTGTGAGACGCTTGCTCCCTCTGCTGGTAGTTCCAGGAAGAGATGGGTAGGAAACGCCCATTAGGCTTAGTATTTCCTGAGCTCCCACTCAATGTCAGACACTGTTCCCAGCACTGGGAACAAAGATGAAGACTCTGCCTCTGACAGTGATGACCCATTAGCACCTGAGAGATACCACTGTATCTCAAAGGTAGGCGGAAACTCCCCTTCTTGCACTCAAAGAATAGTCCCTCCAGCTCAGCTGGAGCCTGCAAAAGAGGGGTAATAGAAAACAAAAATCTCAAGTAGAAACCCAGGAGCTTCCATTTATCACCTTTGCTCTGTGAGAAAGGAAGACTTACTTCGAGAGCTGGAGGGTGCCCTGAGATAACGTTTATAGCAGCGTCCTCGCAGTTCCAGCTCCTCCTATCCATACACGCATTACCCTCAGCAGATCCATCATTTTGGCTTGGGATTCCCTCTGGTCCTAGAAGTCCAGTTAGGGGCCTGGGGAGTGCCAACACTTATGGGTGGGAGTATGTGAAGGAACCAGGCCACTTCCAGGCTACTTTATCAGGGGCCTTTTGTGAACTTTCAGGTAGAGTCAGCAGAGGGAATTCTGATTACTCCAGGCAACAGGATCAGCTTGGGCGCTTATCAGGTTCCCTTGAGGAGCTTATAACGTTCCTTGGCCCTGGAGCTCCCAGTGTCAGCTGGTTTCCTTGCCTGGGCAGCTCAGAGTGAATTGACAATAGGTCCTAATGCTCAGAAAGCCAGTGTCCTCTAGATTAGTGGTCTCCAACCTTTTTGGCACCACAGACTGGTGCTCTCGTGAGAATCCAATGCCTGATGAGCTGAGGTGGAGCTGAGGCAGTGATATAGTGCTGGAGATCGGCTGGAAATATAGATGCTTTGCTCACTCGCCCACTGCTCACTTCCTGGTGTGCAGCCCAGCTCCTAAGAGGTCTGGTACCGGTCTGTGACCCCGGGGGTTGGGGAACCCTGCTCTAGACCAGACCATATGCTGGTGATGGGAGCTCTCTACCTGGGACTGTGGATGATGGGGCAGAAGCCCTATGGGGGAAGGCAGGTGGGAACCTGCTATTATAGTCCAGTAGGTTTGACCCTCTCGATACTCCCCCTCCCACCCACCGTGCTCCATTCTGAGGCAGGCATGTCAGAGGTAGTGCTCAGTGGGCAAGAGCCAAAGTTAGAGGGGCAAGGTCCTTTCCCACTGGCTGGAGGGGATAGGAGGCTTCTGCAGATTCCTAGTAAGGCTCCAACTCATCACTATAGCTGTTCAGGAATGGAGGGAGGCTGGGGAAGGGGTGAAGACAGGGACCTACACTAATCCAGAGGCTGCAGAGGCCATTGGTCAGTATGAGAAGGAAATGCTGGCTTTGAGTACCTAGATCTGGCTATTACTCCCACCCCAACTAGCCTATAGCCAAGATCCCTCTTCTCCTGGAAACTTTGGTTCTCTCTTTTTGCCGTCCTTGCCTTGTGGGGTTGGCCCCTCTTTACAGTTAAATTGTGGAGCTTATAAAATTCCCCAACACACAGTCACTTGCTGTCCAGTGCCAGCCTTACAAGCAGCCCCCAGAGCCTCAAACACTGCCAAATTCTGTGTTTATTGATCTGTTACACTGAAGAGTATAGTTTCTGAGCCAAAAAAACATACACACTCTGCTCCTCACAATACCACTGAGTCACTAAGGCAGACACACAGTGGCCACCGTGCTTGGTGGAAGCCAAGGACTCATGGACAACAAGGGTGGGCAATGGGGCAGGCTGGACCCCCAAACAGGCCGTGCAGTGCCCAGGGCAGGAGTGGGCTTGGGAGGTTTGTGCTGGATGCAAAAGGGCTGCTGTACCCTTTTTCATGTTTCTCAAATGCAGGAAGTCTTCAGACCTTAGCGACTGCTGGGCAGGCCCCAGCCCCTGTGGCAGTGGCATCCTAGCCCCCGGAGCAAGGCCTAGCCTGCATGTGTTGGGGCATGGGGGTAGGGATGACAGAACAAGCAGCATGCCCAGGCCTGGGGTCAGGAACTAGGCCCTTCCTAGTACCCCCCATGAGTGAGGCTCTTCCAAGGGGGTTTCTGAGTCCCTAGGCCTCTTGACATCCCGAGAAGCATGTGGAAGCCAGAGCTAGCCTTGCTTCTCACCAGGGACAAACAGGAGAGACTCAGGCGCCACCCCTGCTCCTACCCTCAGGGACTCAGCAGGCGTCTGGGATAGAAGATGGGCTGCCCCCAAGCTCCAGGGCCACCTTTGAGAGGAGGCTGTGACAGGATCACCTCTTGAAAGAATCACCCTGGGATTCCTCTTGAGAGGAAGTGCTCCCACTACATTCCAGATCCTCCAGCTGGCAAAGCGGCATTTATACATAATTTTCAGGAATACATCTAATGCATAAAGCAAGAGCAGGGGGGCAGAGTGAGATTCTACAGATATACATAGGTGCACAGTACGGGCTAGAAGAATGCATGTGGTCACCTCAGGCGGCCAAAGGCAGTGGCAGTGCTGCTGAGGTGGACTACCCCTACCCAGGGCCCAATTTCTGACTGCCCCACAGCCTCAGAGGAAGGCCCAGAAGGTAGCCCAGGTCTCCTGTGCACAGGAAACCCACCCAAACTGGCAGCTGTTCTGTCTGCCCCAACTGAGGTTGGTGAGTGCTTATTTGTTGGGCCTGCAAAGGAACTCTCAGAAGAAGTATAGCGCAGAGTCCTCTTGTCCCATATGACCCTCATCAGATGTGGCCCAGGCAACTACAGGCCTGATAAACTCTACAGGGTCCCAGGCTGAGCTGAGAGAGGGCACGGGGAGCAGTCCAAGCTGAGGCCACAGATGGCTACGGGGCTATTCTCAGGTGTTTGAGAGGGAAGCAGAGTAGGTGGTTCTCCAAGGCAGCTGCTCCCTGAGGCCAGCCCTTCACATCCCAGCCCTGACCTGAGGGCACCCTGGTCCCTGACTTGCCCTGCAGGGCCAGCACTGCCCAGAGTCGGATCCCAGGCTCACAAGCACTTTGTTAGGAACACAGTTGGGCAGGCAGGGTCAGCTAGGGGTTGGGGCAGTCTCTGCTGCACCGCCCCTGCACCACTCCCTGCGGGGGCCCAGGGATCCGGAACCCAGGCTCTGGCTGGCTGCTGCCTCCTGGACACAGCCCTCACTTGTTCTCTATGAGCATCTGCACCTTGTGAACGAGGTCCCGGGCAATCCGCAGGATCTCCTGGGCATCGTGACGCTCAGCCCGTTCTGGGGGAAACATGAGTAACTGTGGGGATGCTGCAGAGAGAGCAGTAGTCTGGGAGGAGCCCTGTAGTTGCCCACCCTGCTCCATTTACACCTGCTGGACTCCTGACACCTGCTTACGAGGAAGGGGACCTGGTATTTCCGAGCCCATCCAACCCTAACCAGGCCAGAAGTGGAGGCCCCTGTGCTCCCGCTTGGGGGTGGGGGGGAGCAGGGTGGCTGGACCAGCTCCTACCATTGAAGAACTTGATGATGTCAGTGAAGTCCATGTTGTTGTCACGGATAATCTCACGGTAGGCCTCCACCAGGGCCAGGGCAATGAACAGGACAAAGTGCTCTGATGAGATGTGCCGAGCCGCCCAGATCACCTCCCACACAGCAAACACATCCTCATACAGCAGCTCTGGGGACAGCAAGGAGCTAAGGCTAAGCCTGGCTGCCCATGGGCCTCCAATGGAGCCACATGTGGAGACAGAGCTCCAGGAGTTCTCTTCATAACACACAGCTCAGTCCAAGAGAGGAGTTCCATGCCCCAGGCCAAGACCCTGTCCTTGGTAATTCCTGCACGCTGGGCTCCTGCAGACTCCATATTACACTCTCATCAGCTAGAATAGCCTTACTTTTACAGACCACAGTACTGGAGGTGGGAGAGTTTTGATTTGAAAACAGTTCCAAAAACCATTACCTGAGGGCTATTTTCCGCCCTGGATGTGCTTTGGATTCGCCTAAGGAGCTTTTGAAATCTCAGTGCCCAGGCAGCCACACAAGTAAGTTTGGGTCATAAGTTTGAGGCCGAGTGGGGCCCAGGGCACTGGTGTTACTAAAAAGTCCCCAGGTGTTCTGAAGTGCAGTTAGGATTGAGAACCAATGACTTTGGGGAAGAGGGATCTCCCAGTGCCCCTGACCCCAGACCCACCATCCAATCCGCCTCTTACCTCTCTTAAAATCCAGCAGGAACCAGCGGTAACAGAAGTAGAAGTGGGTGTAGTCTCCATTCTGATGCATTAATTCAAACAGCTCTGAGTCCAGGATCTTGTATGAGCGGAGAAAGGGAGAAGGACTGAACAAACCTATGCTACCTCTCCTGGCCACGCCCACCCTCCACCAGGCCCCTCTGCCGCCCTGAGCCTGGCACCTGGCAGCTGTGCTCCAGCCCTCTCCCATCTCCCAGAAGCTGCACTCTGCTGCCCCACCTGTCACTCTGGGTTGTACTCTTTTTGGAGTTATACCATTTTCTGGGTGTTTGATTGCATCATCAACTGTATTACTCACCAGAACTTTCATGAGCACAGGCATTCACACATTGACATTCCTTCTCAATTTATAACATTGAAAACAATGTGTTTTTCAGAAACAAACTCATAAATTCAGAGAGCAAACTGATGGTTGCTAGAAGGGAGGGGGTTGAGGGGCTGGGTGAAAAAGGTGAAGGGATTCAGAAGCACAAATTGGCAGTTACAAAATAGTCATGGGGATGTAAAGTACAGCATAAGAAATATAGTCAATAATATAATAACTGTGTGTGAGCCAAGTGGGTACTAGACTTATGGGGGAATCACCTCGTAAGTTATATAAATGTCTAACCACTGTGCTGTACCCCTGAAACTAATATAATATTGAATGTCAACTGTAATTAAAAAATAAAAAGAAAACAATGCATTTTTAAAATGAAAGAAATTAAGCTTATACATAAAGGACATTTTTAGAATGCTCCATGACCTCCCAGTGAACGATGGAGAAGCCTGGCGGTGCCTGTCAAGTGCCCAAGGGCAGTTACGGACCTCACCTGGATGAGGGAGCGCATGTTAGCAAAGTGGGTATCCATGGCGCCCCCATTGGGGAAGTTCTGGCTCATCCTCTTCATGAGGTGGCTGAAACAGCTGTAGGCCAGCTGATCTGAGGGGAGACAGGAATGAGGCCACAGGGGCAGGAGACCCCAACTTCATTCACCAGGGGTGTCCTGTGGCCCAGAGAACAGGGTTGGCTAGCATTTCCACCCTTCTAGGCCTAACGGCCTTCTTTTCCTTTCTCCAGCTTATGTCAGTCTAACACCAATACCATTTTGGGAACATGCCCCCTTCCCCGGCTCGGCCCTCACCATTGTCAAGGATGACCAGGAGAGGTGCCAGCAGGTCGCACATGCCCTGCACATAGCCCACATCCAGGTGTTCCCACACGTAGCTGAAATGCCAGAGACAGAGTCACTGTGGGTGTGTGTCATCCTCCCCTCTCCTTGGGAATCCCTAGGGAGATGTCCCTAGAGTAGCCTGCTACCCAAAAGTCAGCCTTTCCGTAACCCTAAAGCACTGAGAGTACAATGGTGAACGACCTGTAGCCCCTGTCCTCAAGACACTCAGGGGATCAGGAAAAGAGACGATGCTGGGGCAGAGGAAGCCCTGGGGTAAGGGAAATCAGATAAGGCTTCCTGGAAAATGGCCAAAGCTGAGATCTGAAAGACCTTTAAAAATGAAGAGAGGTGGGGCAGGGGCCACTGCAGGGAAAAAGTGTTCCAGACACAAGGAGTATGATTTAGGCTCAGGAGAGAGGAGCAGGGTGCTTGCGGACCAAACCTGTCCCTGCCTCCCGCCCTGAGCCCTGCCCTACAATGGCACCTGCACATGATGTCTCTGAGCCTCTCGAGGTTGGGGGGTGTGAAGTACCAGTAGTTGCGGTCACATCGCTGCACATCCTTGTCTATGCGGTGCAGATTTAAGGCCACAGTGTCCAGTAGCTCTATCTGAAAGAGTGGAGGGCCCTCAGGGGTGAGCTGGGGGCCCGAGGTGACACCGACATGAAGGAATGCAGCAAAGGCAGGGAGCCAAGGAACTCAGAGAACTGAATCCTCTGGGAATGCTAAGACAGGCTCAGAGCCCCCTCCAGGACAGTCGGGGCACCCCACCTTCCACCCGCCAGCCTGTCCCCAGCTCTGGGGCCAGCTGACAACAATGCCTGGGGAACGTCCACATACAGTGTAGGCAGCAGCGCACACAGCCACAAGATCTTCCCTTGCCTCCAGCTCGTTGGCCTGCGAGGCCTTCTCCTGGCTGGGATCTTGGGGCTCAGAAAAAGTGTGGACTGCAGGGACTGGCCCATCAGAGCCTTCCTCCCCACCGCCATCCTCTTCCTCGAAGCCCACGCTGGGTCCCTCATCTATGCTCGACTGGATGCCCGAGGTCACAGAGTAATTGCGAGAGGACGGCAGTCCTGAGTCTGGAGAGTCAAACTCTACTGACTGCTGCTGTTCCACCATGGCGGTGCCTGGAAGCCCTGCTCCTGGTTCTTGCTTGGGCTCCGGTCTGGAATCTTCAGTGCCCGGGGGCCTTGGGGGCTCCAGGTCATCCACAGAAATAAACACCTGGTGGGGGTGAACAGATGGTGGGGCTCACACCTGCATTCCAGCACCTTCCCTCAGCTCCCTGCTATCTCCTTCCTGGGGTCAGTTCCCACCGCATGGCCTCCAAACTGCCTCCCTTGGGTGCCAAGCCTCTACTTCTGACCCAGCTGACCAGGTGGAGAAAGATTAGGCTCTGGGGAAACATGAAGACACCAGCCTTCAGCCCTATCCAATCCCCTCCTCTAGCTTCTTCCTGGAGCATGAGGAAAAGCGTGAAGCACTCCAGTCTTCCTGTGGCTGCCGCAGGGAAAAAGGGGAACCAGAAGCCTGGAGAGTCAATGGCACTCAATGGCCAGTGTAAGCTGTGCCATTCTACAAACACCTGAAGTCATGAGGCTGCCTCAGGTTAGGAGAACTTCCTTGGTGTCTTGGTGTAGCTGCTGGGGCAGCCTGGGGGGATGGCAGGCTGGAGGCATTAGGAAAAAAAGTTCTTCCTTATTATCAGTACTGAATGTTCAGCAGAACAAGGCAAGAAACTTCTCTAGGAAGTACCTAATCAGTTATATTAGCTTCAGACAAGCCGAGGAGAGGTAAGAAGTAAAAGGAAACTGCTGATTGCAAACTGTCCACCACCATGGACAAATCACAAGGAAAATAAGAGAGATGTATGCAGACTGGTTTTTAATTTTTTTCTTTTTTTCTTTTTGGAATGTAGGGAATTTAATTTTTAATTTGTATGGAAAGGAATTTTCTTTTGGGCAAGAAGCATGAAGTGTTGTTGGGTTAGTATCAGGTAAGGCCATGATGCTGAAGCAATCCAGAACCTCAGACAGTGCCAGCGAGGAAGACTACTGCTGTCCGTGAGCTAAGCAGCTGGAACCCTGGTACACTTAGGATTTTACTAAACCCAAAGCCAAAGAGAATATGTTCACGAATAGCGTATTAAGAACAAAGCATATGAAAAGGAGAGTGTACTTTGGTAGTTATATTTCTTTAAGTCTTGCTTCAGCTTGAGTTTTGTGTTAATATTAGTAAGGATTTAGTAAAGTAGCAAAAATATACAATATCTAAATAGGTGATTTTAAAGAAAAAACATTAGGTTAGTAAGAGTGCCTTTAAAACTGAGCCTTATCACTTCTTGTTGGGCTCAGCAGCCATAATTTGGGACTTGTTCACCTAAAGGCAGGAGTAATGTCACAAGAACTAGGTAGGATCTGAACTGGCTTTGCATAGTCAAGTCTATAAGATGATGAAAAATACCATGGTGGTGAGGAGATCTTTCCAGTAGACACCAATGGGACCGCTCTAAGTTCTCCCTTGATCTCTGGCTAACAGCTCTCAGTGAAGCCTCTACAATCAAAGGATAGTAGAGCTGAGAGGGGATACTGAGGCCCAAAAATGGGAAGACAAGTCACTCATCTTGTCAGGAGTAGGCCTGGGACTAGAACTCAGGGCTGCCTATTCCTAGCCTGAGGTCTCTCTATAGGAGGAAGGACTTCCCTAAATCCCTCAAAATTCATCTTTCCCTGCTAGTCCATTAAAACAGAACACAATGTATTATCTCACTTTATTCCTGCAATACCCAGAAAAGTGGGCAGCAGGGGGACAGTCATCCTGTTTTTCAGTGGAAGAAAATGAGACACAGACATATGAAGCCATTCTCCCAGGGCTCCACCGCCAGTGAGTACTAGAGGTCAGGCTGGTGCTCAGGACTCCTGCGTGTAAAACCCTGGTGGTCCCTGCCCCCAGGCCCCCCCAGGTCCTGTGCAGCTCACATCATTGCTTATGGTGGAATCTCGGTGGATGAGGCGCTGCACGTGGCTGTCGATGCTGCTGCCCGAGGAGAACTTGGTGAGTGTGGCTGGGTGAGCCTCCTGTTCCCGCTGCCTCACCACCAACTCGCAGGCCTTCCACTCTGTCAACACTCGCTGGTACCTCGCTGCCACCACTGCATCCACCTGTACTTGGACCACACCATGACCTTGGGGGAGGTGTGCACCAAGCCCTCCTCTGCAGGGGCTGGGACAGCTAGAGACTAGGCTTGGGCCTAGGGGTGAGGACAGTGGGGTTGCTCTGCTAACATCTTCCTCTGCCATGTTTCTCTCTGGCTGAAAAGGGGCGGAGCCTTCCGAGACCCCCTCCCTGGGGTTCCTTGGCCCAGCTCTCCAGCTCCCTGTCACCATGGGAATGGGCTCCCTTACCTGCTCCATCTCCTTCTTGCTCATGCCAAACTTATAGTGGCCAAGCAGAAAAGGCCAGACATCCTTGCGGATCTCGTGCTCCACACCTCCATAGTAAACTTGCCGCAGCAGCTCCAGCTCCTTATAGTTCTGAGGGACCCAGGCAATAAAGATTATGCAGCCCCCACAGTCATGTTGGCCCTAATGAGTGACCCCATCCCATGGAGAGCTGGGACTGGGGACAATGTTTCAGTCACTGCTGAAACCCAAGCACACCCTGCTTTGGGGTGGTCACATTCTCCCTGGCCCAGGTTAGAGCTGGATGAGATCTACTCCTTCCAGAGCAGAGAGAGAACCCAAAGAGATGCAGAGATTTGCCCAAGGTTGCGGAGTAACACAGAAGTAGAACAGATTCCCCCTCTGGTCCCCTTCCCATGGAAACCCACAGACCCACCGTGAGATTCTACCATGACCCAGGCAACTCCAAGGCCATCAGTCCTGGCCTGTCAATCCCAACCTCTACTATGTTTTATGTAAATGCCCATTTGGTTTGTGAAAGCTGCTCCCAGAGCAGACTGCTCTGCAGTCACTGCTGCCCCACCTCCCAGCCCCTTGACCTAGCCTCTGGGCCCAGCACCCCAGAACGTGCACCTTTTCGTCCTTCTGATACTTGCTCCACATATCCTTGGTGAGACCCCCTGAGGCCCCTGGGGGCCGCCCGGGCGGGATGATGTTGTGATGCACCAGCGCTGACAGGTGGGTCCGCACGGTGGCCAGGTGGCGGCAGTATGCCAGCCCTGGGGGAGGGGGGAGCCAGGAGGCCCTGACTATGGTGCCTCCCCCACCCCCGCCCCCCGTGGCCCCACCTCACCCCACACTCACAGCCGTAAAAGGCCCGGGACACGATCTGCCTCTTCATGCTCTCACACAGTAGCCTGAGGGGCAACCTGTGGAATCAACCTGGCTCAGAGGGCTGTGGCTCCTCTGGTGGGAGGAGAATAAGCAGGAGGAACATTCTGGGTGGGGTAGGGGCAGGTAAGGCACTCGGGGTGGTGCAGGGAGCAGTGTCCATAGCCTGGCAGCATGTCATTGGGCTCCCCGTTGCTGCCAGCCACCTGGGGTAGAGCTGCTAAGGGCCCAGCCTGACCTCCAACCACCCAGGGGACCTTGGGCAACTAACTTCACTTCATGTTAGTGAATTGTGGTTTCCTCAAGTGAAAAATAGAGGATCATCTCAGGGTTATCAGGAGTAACAGGTAAAAAATGAAGTAACAGGTAAAAGTGAGCAGCGGCAAAACCATTCCCAAGCCATTGCTGGCACATGGCAGATGCCCAGACATTTGTTGCACGTCCTCAGACATACAGCCTGATGGGAGGATCTATGTCCACACTGGGAAGGGGAGCTTATAAGTAATGAGCCCCTATGACATGAGCACCCTAGCTCTGGGTTCTCGGGTTATGTACCTCACTTAGTCCTCACAAGAACCTTAGGAAGCAGGTGGTATGATTCCCATTTTACAGATGAGGAAACTAAGGCTCAGAAGCATAGAGGCTCATAGAGACTCAGTAACTTGCCAAAATCTCATGGGTAGCAAAAGTGAAATTCAAATCCAGGTCTAACTCAAGGTCGCCCTGTCAGGAAAGTGACACAGGAGAGACTGACACACACACATGGATGGACACACTCACCGGGAGCTGGTGTTCTGGGCCCTGCCCACTCACCGGTCAGGGACACAGTTGCAATGGCTGGGAGTTGCATATGGGGAGCTGCTGGTGGAGCAGGAGAGGCAGGAGGAGCCCTGGCTACACAGGGGCTCCAGGTGCCAGGCTGGCAGGCCAGGCCCAAAGCCCTGCATCTCAATCAGGTCGCCAGCATCTGAGGGCAGGAAGATGGCCATGGTCAAGGCCTTGCAGGCCTCCTCCCCCAGGCACCCTGCAGCATGCCCACCTCTGTGCCCAGAGCTGCAGCATGAAGTCACCCATAGGTGGAGAACTACAAGGGTGGTGCCTGCCTGATCCAGAACCCAGAGATGACAGAGGTGGAGAGGGAGGGTGACTGACACTTCCCAGCCTCCATTTAGTTTTTCTGCATGTGATAAAATACTTTGACTGAGTTGTGGATGATTGTGTGTTTTCTCCATCTTGCTATTAGCAATGGAATAAACACTTGTTCTAAAGGAAGGAGAAAGAAAGAGAAGGAACAATAAATAAAAGCCTGATCTCCCTAAAATGCCACCAGCTAGCTTGGCCTTCAAGGATTCAGCCTGGTCCTCTCGGGCAAACGCTGAGTTGCACAGGAAGGTACTTGGACCTAGAATGCTGCAAACTTTGAATCTTCCTGATCAAAGCCCCTGAGGACCATTGAGGGTTCTAGACCTGATGACCAGTGGCTAAGGAGGTGCCCACATCAGGTGCCCCTGCTGCCAGCTCCCATGGGTCCTTTCTGAGTTTTCCATCCTTGCCTGGCCTGACTGCTCTCAGCATGGTGGCCTCCTACAACACACAGGTGAGCTAGCAGAAAGGGCAAAATTTCCAAGGCTGCCAGGCTACTGCAGGAATGAGGGTGGTGTCTGGGCACACAGTTCCATCATCCAGAAGAATATCCCCAGGTGCAGCCTAAGAAAACGGCTCTTTGGACATATCTACACCACCAGCAGACAGCACCTCCTCAGCCAGCCTAGCTGGTCTGAATCCAAAGAATCAGAACTCAAGACCCTTGAGAGCTTCTTGGGCCCAAGTGGGGCAGGGCACTGCTCATAGGGGACTCTGGTAGGTCCACTGAACCACGAAGATGAAGCAAATTGAGGGCAGGAAGTGAAAGGACTAGGAGATGACTTCAGGAGGAGGGAAAGCACAGAGAAGAGTGAAGAACAGGAAAAGAGAGCTCTATTTGTGATGAAGACTTCTTTCAAGTAGTATTTCTTCCTGCGAATTGTGACCTGAGCCCTGGCCTGCTGAGTCTGGGACAAACCTAGGCCTGGATTCTGTAAGTAGCAGACTCCAGCTCTGGGTGTGCCTTGGTGGGAAGGGCTGAGCTGAGCCCCCTCCAGTCCCCTTAGGGGCTGCCCTGTCTTGGCCCAGGGCTCTCTTCCCAGCCCCATGGCTGAGAATTTTGTAGAGATCTGGCCCTTCAGCTCCACCAGGAGGCAAATTAAGGGAACAAACATACTTGGTGTGGAGGGGCTGTGGCTCTGGGAGTGAGGGGTTGCAAGCCATGCCCAGGACTCTGGGAAGAAAAGGTGGAGGGCGGGGAACAAATGCAGGTGAGGTGAGGCAGGTGAGCCTTGCTCATGCCCCTATAGCAGGCAGGAGGGAGGCCAGTCGTGGGAGGAGCTGGGGCGGGAGCAGGCCCAGCCAGGCAGGCAGCAGGCAGCAGGCGGGCAGGCAGGGTGGGTAACAAGTGCAGAGGGTAAAAGGTGGGCACACAGGGAAACGAGCTCATGCCCAGAAAGCAGGGCTCAGCCAAGGCAAGTCTCCTGGGTCAATGCTCTTCACCTTAATTCTCCAGGAAGGAGCTGAACCAGCCAGCATTGAAAACTGCATCTCTGAATTAACACAGTGCAGAGAGCTGGAGCTCTGGAGTGACTGGGCAAGGGGCAGCAGGCTGGATGGGGGCTCTGCTGGGCCAGCTTTGACTCTGACTCTCTCCTCTAAGCTTGAGGAAAGTTTGAAGCAAAACAATCAGGGTGGTTGAACCCCACAGCCCCTAAGACTCCGAGTGAAAGGTGCCTGGCCTGGAGCAGAATTAGAGTGAATAGCATCTCTGCTCTGTGAGGAGGAAGCAAGAAGAGAGGGAGGGGAGGGAGAGGAGAGTCTGGACACCCACCACTTGATTCACATGCACAAGTCAAGCATGTTGCAGGCCTGAAAAGCAAGAGCTAGCAGGATGGACTCAACAGTGTTGTCATTATGGCCTGGAGTGGAGGCGGGAGCTGCCATACCATCTCTTCCCAAACACCTGCTGATTCTGCTCTCATGTCTCCTCCCCTTTTCTAAGTACTGGAATCCCAGGTGCTACATACTGGTATACTGGGTTGGTCTGGTCCCCAAGTTCCCCAAGAGGATATCCAGACAAGCCCTGAGGTTTCTGGAACCTGTAGATCCTGGAGGTTTCTCTGACTCTGGCGGGCTCAGCATTAAGACTACTCAAGAATAGGCTTCTGATCACCAAGTCTGCCAAGACAGGGGCTCTTCTGGGACTCCCCTCACCCTGCCTCCAGCCTGACTACTGGTTCATTGGGGTAAAAAGAGTCAGCCCTAGCCCTCCTGACTCAGCTTTCTCACACTGCTCAAAGTCAGTTAACCTGTAAACAAGCATTCCAAGCCCAGGCTTGCAAGGAACCAGATGGCGGGCTGTGTGTAGGCAATAAACATCAGAAGTGAGGCTCTCCCACATTCCCACCCAGGCTGGACTGAAGGTCCTACTGGAATGGCTGGGAGGGAGGGTAGATAGGAAGGCAGGCAAGTGTGGGTAAGGGGGAAGCTGGCAGGGTTGTGCTGAGGGTGTGCTAGGTGTGTTCTAGGCCAAAGACTTGGTTGCCCAGGGATGGGAAGACGCATTACTGGCTTGGTGGCTGGGCTAAGAAACTGGGCAGAACTCTGTGGAAATATAAGGAGAGTGTCACATATTCTTAGACACCCTCTGTAGGGGCAAAGAAAGAGATAAAAAATTAATTCTGTGGCATGGGAATGGGTGGGGATGGGGAAGTTCCTCTAAACTCTGAGAAAGCTGACCCCTTCACAACCAATTTTTCCTTAAGCAGCCCAGCTTAGTTAGTCCTCACAGGATCCCTGGCTGATCACTTTCCAAAAAGAGAATGGTGTTCCTTCTCCACCAGCCTAGCTCTGTGCTGAGAAATGGACAAAGCGGCTGCGGGCACTGTGCTGTTTTGTTTGCAATGAAGGGACCTCTGCAACCATGTACCCTAAGGTCCACTTGACTCATATCCCTGGCAGG